CTATAGCTATAGTCCACCAGTCTGCTCACTATGAGTTTCTTTAGCTTTTTAAGAAGTTGTCCAAGAAACAACTGCCATACTCACCCACCCAGCAGTCAGAAACACTCTTGACAGCCATAGTCAAGGTCACCCTGGGCTCTGCACTTCCCCTTGAATTTTCTAACATGTGAACAGATGGGGCCATCCTGAGGTAATTTTCCCTTGCAATTGGGCAGGGAAGTCTGTAGTTGAACTGGGATTCTTCCATGGGGGACAGTCTTCTCTGGCTGTATTTTGTTCAGGGTGCTCTGAGAAGGAAAGGTGTGGGAAGGGGTCACTGGGGTTGAGGAGGAGCTGTTTCTTGTTGGTCCTGCTTGGATAAATTCGGCGGAAAAAGAGAGTGCATTCCTCTCTCCCATTACATATGCTTGTCTGTGAAGGCAAAGAACATTGAAGGAGTGAAGGCTAGGGTGTGAGTCTTTTTCTCTCAGTGAGGAAATCTGTCTTTGCAACTCAGCAGTGCCCTGTGGGACAATGCTGATGGCTGACCCAATACTTTGTGGACAGGTCATGGAAAGTTCAGCTTCTAATTACCCATTTCTTCTTCTCCTGGTGCTTACATTTTGAATAATCTCTATTTCTCTAAGCAAGGGAAGAATCCAGGGTTATAAACACTCAATGTACTTTGTGGTCATTCGGTTTGTTTGGTATGTGTCAAAGTTTGTGTTGGGAGAAATACAGACTTTCGGGAGAAAAGGAGGATTTCAAATGTCTTTTCTGTCCTGGTTGTGAGGATGTGCTCATTAGGGCCCACAGCAGGGCCGCAGAGGGCACCAGACAGCTGACAGCAAACCTTGACCCTGGTAGTTTATTGCTCGCCTCATTATTGATTTTCAAAAGATTCAGGCAAAGTGGCTGTACCTCTGTTATATTTCATTATTTCTTCATCTGTAAAAATGCAGCATTTGTTTATAGCACTGTCCTACCTCCTGGGAACAGAGCAGGGTAACACACAAGGGAATTGGGGTGGCTATTTTTAGGATATGAAGCAACACTAGGTTTTGAGAAGAATTCAGGTGAAAATAAATGTGATACACGGCAATACATTTGTGACAAGGGTGAGTAGACTGTTCTTGTGATAATTGACTGCTATTGATGCAACTTATTACAGGCATATGTAATTGTTTTCAGAAAGATTATGGTCAGCGGCTCCATGGCTTGTAATATCCTCTGATGCATTTACATTTTGTGTAGGTCACTGATGCACATGTGTAACAGCATTTCCAGATATTTATACCCATATTCAAACAAAAGAAAAGGAATCCAGAAACATTTGTTTTTGAATTTGTCATGTTTACTTGTACAATGACCTCAGAATATTTGTGAAGGACTTGATGCCCAGATTTAATCAAATGTAGCTTTTTAAAAGGGCTAAGTGGCTGAGAGTATTCAAAATGACCTTTTAAAACAAATCACCTGGCAGTATGGAATATAGCAGATAATTGGATGCTAAGTGTGGAGATTAGATTTTCTAATGGGCAAACTCCAAATTTGTTCAGTCATCGGTTGATTATTGGCCATGTTTGGTACCAGTGTGCTAATGTTAAACCTAATGATGTCTGAAAATAGTTATCATGGATAATACTAGCTGATCTGAAAAATTTAACATTTTTACCTAATAATTTCAACAATTTATAGTGGAAGAAAAGTATCCTGATAATTAGTCTTTCTTTTTTTATATTCTTATGGGGTATATTCTTATGGGGGCAGAAATGAGAATCAAACAGAAGACATTTTGAAATTAATAACAAATTGGCCCTAATTTTGATGTCTGTTATAATTATATTAACCCTTTTTATGGCTGTAAAAGCAAACGATGCCTAATAGTATGCCCAACATTTGTGATCTACTGGAAGGCAATTGGTTTTGGTTTAAATTTCATGAGAAATTTTTACAATAGACAGTGTAAATCAAACTACTGTTTTTATGTCTAATGTGTAAGTATTTCTTAAAAAATGAAGTAGGGAGAAGGGAAGGATATAGAAGTGGGATTCTGAGTTCTATGTTGGAAGAAATACAACTTTTAGGAGAAAATGAGGAATATGCAAATGGCCTGCTTCCTTAGTCAATGTAATCTTTCCCAAGTGTTTTTTTTCCAGGTGGGTCAGACCTTGGTTTTGGGCAGTTTGCATCTGCACTATCTGTTTAGCATTTGGGAGAAGTTTTAGTTGTTCCTGTCACTGTGATATATTTAGGATGGTGACTTATTTAGGGCATCTCTTAAAGGGTCTAATTTAAATTATGCTGATTAACTTGCTTAGGTATAGAATCTAACGTATTGATATGTCAAATGGTGACAGGACACTTTCACTGTGATGTCTTTCATAGAATTTCAGGGTTAGATAAAACCATTGGAGGCATCATTTAATCCCTAACCGAGCAAGGAGAAATGAATCACTCAGAACAAATCACCAAGGACTGCTGGCATTCAATCTCTGCTAAAATACCTCTTCCTTTCTTAGGGAGGCCTGTTGCTCTCTCTCTCTTTAAAAAAAAAAATATATTTTATTGATTTTGTACAGAGAGGAAGGGAGAGAGATAGAGAGAAACACCGATGAGAGAGAGTTACCGATCAGCTGCCTCTTGCATACACCCTACTGGGGATATGCCCGCAACCAAGGTAGATGACCTTGACTGGAATCGAACCCGGGACCCTTCAGTCCCCAAACGGACGCTCTATCCATTGAGCCAAACCGGTTTCGGCCCTGTTGCTCTCTTAGATGCTTCAGTTTATCAGCAGTTGACCCTCTGCAGCTATCCAGAACTAGTTTACTCATTGACTTGCATGACAAGCTTGCGATTGTGTTCACCCAAAGTATTCTTTTATCCAGACTAAATATTACTGGTTCCTTCAAAAAGATCTTTTATAATGTAGTTTTCATTTTCATTTTATTAATTTCTTCAGGGATCAGGCTGTTCATGTCTGAAAATGTACTCCAGGCTATGTTTGTTATGAGTCCCGAAAAAATAAATTGCTTGTCTCCAGTTACTCTTCAGAATGTAGCCTCTTGCCAACTGGTTTAGAAACATTTTATGGAAAAGACTTACTAGACATGCTTTCTAAGACTTTTACAACTGAAACAGAGTTGGAATGTATACTCCCGTAATAAAAATCTATTTTCATAAATGTAATTATTGAGGTTCTGGCATGTGTAAGGTACATGGGAATATAAAACACAGTAGAGATAGAAATAGAATGTAAGATGCAAAGAAGAGTGCTTCACTGTTTTCATCATCAAAACTTTATAATCTATTATGTTACGGGAAATAACTTTGCTAAGGGAGCTATAATTAAAAGAAGCAGTTTAACTACTACACGAGAGGCATATATGAAATGTTAAGGTATAAAATCACCCCTGGTCCATGAGATCCCAAGAGGTTTCATGGGAGAAAGGGATGCTTCAGATAGGCCTTAATTTTGACGGGCACCAATGTGGGCAAGTATCAAGAGTGTTTTCAGAGGAGCATCTGACTTAAGGGCAGCATAAGATGCATATCAAGTGAATACTGGTAAAAAGTTAGAATGTTTGGAATATGTTGGGTAAAGCCTGTATTGCAGTTTAAAGAGTTTGTACCTAAAATAAGAATGAATGGTGGGCACATGTACTGTAACACGTTGAAAATTTGGTTCCTGATTTTGGTAGTTCCATAACTTTACAAACATAGTTAAATGAAATAAAATATATGTGAAAATATCCATGCAGAAATTCTATTTCATTTATAAAGAGTATGAATTATGTGTTTTGCATTTAAGACATATTGTCTTTGAATTAGATATCATTATTACTTTCTTTGTCCCAGAAACCCAACAAGTGTTTCAAGGACATTTACTAATCATAACTGTCAAGTAAATACTTTGCTGATAGACATGTTGTTATATTATATTCACACCTGTGTAAGTTATTAATACCTTTTCTATTTACTACTCTTTGGCCATATAAATGACATGCCATACTGACACCTAGGTTATCTCAAATGGTTGCCATTTTAGTATAAAATAAATTGACCTTTTCTTCAATTTATAGTAATTAAAAAGGGAGACACAGCCCTGGACTCTTTGGCTTAGCTAGTTGAGCATCATCCTGTGCACTGAAAGATCGCAGATTCAATTCCTGGTCAGGGCACATATTCGCTTGTGGGTTTGATCCCAAGTGGAGCATGTGTGGAAGGTAACCAATTGATGTTTCTCTCTCATATCAATATTTCTTCTCTCTCTCTCTGTCTCTCTCTCTCTCTTCCTCAAATCAATAAAAACATATTTTAAAAAAATGGAGATATAGAATGTTGGGAAATACTTCTAAGTAGGTGTGTTACTTATAATATTGTCACCTATAAAGTACCTTACATATACAATGAGTTTTATTGCATGTTAATAATAATTTTGAAAAATAGTCTTACTTTGGGTTGACTATCTTTATTAACTATGAAAAAACTCTCTTCTTCTAATTTATCTACATAGATTGCTTATTAATCCACATAATGAATAGTAGAGATGGTGAATACCTAAATGGACAACTATTTCATAGTACAAGTGGATTTATGTGGAGAAGCAGTCAATACATTAGACCACATGTGTCAAACACAAGGCCCGCGGGCCAAATCCGTCCCGCCAGGCCTTGCAATGTGGCCCGCACCGTGCTGTCATCACTGCACTCCGCTGCGTTTCCATCACAATGACAGTTTATGACTGTTCATTCGGCCAGCGATTTAGGCTGGATTTTAGATTTTGGCCCCTTCTCTGATTGAGTTTGACACCCCTACATTAGACAATAGCAGTGTTAATTATTGTATGTTGCCAAAACAAAAGTGAGTACTTTGATTTTGGAACCTTTAATCACTGTGAAAAGTAACTTATTTTAGATTTAGTCATTCTTTTAGTTTCTGGAGAAGTACACAGAACTTTGTGAGGGACTAGGAGACAATAGAAAAGAGTTTGTTGTAATAAAACAACATAGAGTTCATTAATTTTTAATTATAATTTAATGCATGTGGGAACACTGATGTTTCAATAACAGTTGATTATAGGCCATCTGAGCATTTTACTATTATTTAGACTTTATTGAAGGTCTATTCTGAAATATTAAATATAGATGGAGGGAGTGTGTTCTGAAACACTTGAGTACTATTTATATATTTCCATTTGAAGAACATACTGGCTTTTACCAAGAGCCTGAAAGGTATGAGGTAATGATACCTCTTCTTGTTATCATCTAGAGGAGGGAATGGACAGTGTTTGAATGTCCTGTAGGTCTGAGGACTGTCTTAGGGACAGGTGCTGTACTTTGTATAGTTATCCAGTTTTGAAGGGATCAAGGCAGTAGTAATTTGTGCTAAGGGCCCTTTAATAAAGAGAAGGCTGTCTTTTTTGAGGGCAGTTTGTAAGAAAAAAAAATCATGGGATTTGAAAATGCTGAAGGGTCTTACTGAATCCTGAGGTTGTGAAGCATGTAGGTAGGTGGGTTTTTCATAAAAGGTTTCTTCATTCATCTGTGTGCTTGTGTGTCTGTATAATGCACTTCTGTCTTAGTTCCTGCATGTTCCTGTTCACTCAGTGAGCCATAATCTTCATCTGCTGCCTACAGTTAACTTCGAGCTGGGCTCTGCTTTCGGAGAGAACTGGCTTCACAGAAACACTGTGGTCCTGCAGTGTGTAATGGAAATAGAACCGAGGCAAGAAGAGCATCCCGATGGTTTGGTCATTGCATTTCTTGGGAGCCAGTTTTCTGGAAAAACAGCAAATGATTGATGAATGCTCATTTGAGAAGAATACTCAATATTGGATATTTGAGAGAAGAATAAGAACTTAGTATGCCCTTCTGAATATGTTTAGCGATTGCAGCTTATAAGAGCAGTCAGCCTCTCACAGACAAGTGATATCAAAGACTGTTCAGCATCCAAGAACATGTGGAGGCTCGGTGGTAGAGAGCCTGGATCTCAGAAACATGGAGACCCAAATCATTACTGCCGCAATCCGCTACTCTCATGTCATAACTACACATGTAAATGAAACCAATCCTGAATTAAATAATAAGTTTTTAAAGAATTAACCTGGGAAATGTCAAGTCTCAATCCTTTTCCATTGAATGAAATGAGTATATTTTCCTGGGTTGTAATTGTGTACTCTCATAATATTCTTGAAAGCATAAAATTAGAATATTTAAAAAAAAATTTCCTGGCAGTTTCTAAAGAGAAAGTGTAAAATATGCATTACCTTACAAAGCATCCTTTTATCCTCACAGTTTATTTGTTCTCTTTTGTGAAATAAAAGAGATGCATTTGAAAATAGCACCAGGAACATGAGGAGTTCATAGTTTATTATTATGGTTTATATTTTCAATTATGTATTTATTCACAAGTTGATTTATTTCATTGCTATTGTACTGGTGTTTATATCTCAGTCTGTACTAAATTTATGGTAATACTGATTTCATTTAGTTTGAAATTATGATTACAAAATAGGATAATAGTCATCCCTCTTTTGTCCTTTCCAAGTGCCATCACTAGCAATTAAGTATAAACCAGAGAACATGAACTTGGAATAAAACCTACAGTGAGTTTAGACAGAATTTGGGCAGTCACTTGCAGTGACTGATGATGTAAAGGAGTAGGTCTAAGTATGTTCTAATAAAAAACTCAGGAATCACTGCAAAGATTTAATGGATACATTGATGACTGATCTGAGGGGGAAAAAAGACACTGAAAAATGTTGGTATGAGATCGTGCTGAAGACACAACCTCTGCAGTGTTTCCCAGGATTTGGACACATAGGTATCACTTTTACATTCAAGAATCCTTTGATAGCAGTTTGAGAAGCTCACGGAAGTTGTTTAACAATTGTTGTATTCAAAGTAGATAAGTAAAGCAGTTGGGTGTGATTTTTTTGTAGGCCCCTCCCAGCACTCACAGGCAGAGACACTGGCTCCTAAGCCAGCCCAGAGCATCCTAGGAAGTACAGAGGGCTTGGTTTTAGTTTGGAGTTTGTGGAGTATGGAAAGGGAAGGGTGTGGCATTCCTTTACAGCAAGATTTAAAGGAGCCCTTCTAAGATCCATGCATCTATGCTAGCCGTGTGTTCTGAGCCAATTTCTTGATAAAATGGGGATAGGAAAATATGTAAAACAAATGGTAAACAATAATAAAACTATGCAGGTTTAAGATATTGTGTGATAAAATACTCAACTGTTTTATTCAGATGTTTAGAAAATAAGACTACAGAAAAAAGTACTCAGGGGCTTTGGATCACTTAAGTGGAAGTCCTTACATAGTAAATGATTATATAGGACAACTAACATATATTAAATTGTAATATCTTTTATGTACATTAAAATATATATTTTTCAATAATTTTTAAAAAAGTAACTTCTTTATCAGGGAGGGATAGACCCAGATGATGAACTTCATGAAAGCATCAAGATGACTATTTCTTTGTCAATTCTTAGGATTCATCATTTATTTGTAAATCTGTAGGTTATCATGCAGTACATATTGTAAATACCATGATACTTAAAACTCCCTAAACATTTATTTTTAAAATAGAATTTATTTTTTTAGGGCAGTTTTAGGTTCACAGCAAAACTAAGTGAAACAGAGATTTCCCATGTCCTCCCCCCTCATTATCCCCCAATTTCAAAATTTTGTACCAAAGTGATACATCTGTTACAACTGATGAGCCTACATTGACATACCCTTACCACCCAGAGTCTGTGGTTTCCATTTTGTGAAACTCTAAATATTTTAATTCCATGTAATGATGTGAAACATTGTTTAGTGCACATGTTAGAGATGTTGGCACAATATAACATCTGTAACATTGATTCACCTTGAGAAAAACAGGATCTATAATTTGTTTTTTAATTGACAAGGTCATTTTCACATTATGTTTTTAATCTAAAAATGGTTATACAATACCTTATGGTCTTATTTTTAACCCTTCTAAACCTTAAAACCACTGCTTCTCTAGAGTTACATATGGTTATAATCTGGTTTATGGTTTGAAACTAAAGGGAAGGCTGGGAATTTAGGATAAAGGAAATTTTTAACAATCCCCATTATTTTTATAAGAGTGGGTAATTTCCATTTTAAAACATCCTGGCCAAAAGTTTTGTGTGCTGTTTAAAATGAGTAAGTACAAGATTGAAAGATTTTTAAGAGACTTTTCTTTTATATTAGACATTTGAGATATGATCTACTAAGGCCTTCCTAAGTAAAAGGACATTCCATGTTGTGTAATGGGTGTTTGAATAATGAAAACATGCTTTAGAGATGTGTAAGGTGTCTTCTTGCCTTTGACCTCCGGGAAGCTATGCAGCACAGATACCTTTTTCCTCTTCCTCTGACAGTTCTAAGAGGAATCCACAATGGGAGACAGAAATCAGAGACACACAATTGCAACAACACTGACAAGATTTCACTTTTGATTATTAAAAAAACAAAACAAAAACAAACAAAAAAAAAAAACCTGGTGGTGGTGGGGGGGGAAAGGCACCTACGTTAAAAATGAAGCAAAGAATCTTACACAAGGAAAGTGCTGCCTTCAAACACCTTGAAACACACACACGCCTTGGCCTTCACCCTGGGAAAAACACAGAAGGAGAGGCCAGCCCACAGCAGTGGCCCGGCTGGTTCATTGGGAGAAAGAGCGGCTGCTCAGGGGCTCCGCTGCGCCCAGCGCCGGGCCGGGCTGTGCGGGCACCAGGCTCGGGGACCGGTGCCAGGAGCCGGAGCCCCGACCGCCCTGCCCTCGCCCCTCTGCGCTGGGCCCGCCCTGGAAGGGCCTGAACTTTGGCCCTTGTCCGCTGACACCCTAGGGAGTTTGAATGCAATGACGTCTCCGCCTGGTTCAGCTGCACAACAGGAAATGCTCCCGCCTCCCCCTCCTGCTCGGAGAAAGTGGGGCTGCTTCTCTGGCGGCTGCCTTGGCGCTGGCCTAGACCTAGTTTCAGGGCCGAAGCCTGGGCTGCTCCCTCGGGGTCGGGTCGGCGGGGCCCGGAGCCCTGGGCGGGGACGCCGAGGAGGATGCGCTGTCTTTGCAATGGCTGGCTCTCCCCGGCGTGCCAGGGGACGCCTCTGTGCTTAACAGACAGACAGGAATGCCAGGCGATCACTGGCCTTGGGGAGACCACAGCGCTTGCATAATAGAGAGAACACCCGGTCAGGTGGGCCAAAAGCATTGGCAGGCTCCCCGAAATCGAGCGAATAAGTGCTGAATAATGCTGACTGCAGAGGCCTGAGCAGGCTTTTAGTCACCTTGATAGAATGTACAGTCTCTCTCTCCACAAAGCCCTGCCGGGAAACCTCTTGTTTCACTCTCCTTCCAACTGTCACCTTCTACTTTGCTGTGGAAACAAAGATGTGCCTGTTGAGCGCGAAGCACAGGCATCGCGCTGGGAGACACTTGGGGACAGTCATGGCATGGACAGTGTTGTAGTATTTGTGATCGAATCGTTATGATTTGGGTAGTGAATCTAGTTTTTAGAAATGCTAATGGTCTTGTAAATTTTAGAACAGTGCTGTGGTCCTTGCCTTTGGATGTACTACCGGTATCCTCAAATTATAGATGGATTTTTACTATTTTTTGTTTTGTTTTGTTTTTTACATTTTTAGGTTTTAGCTAGAGAGAAGCTTAGGAAATTGAAGCCAAACAAGTAAATCCAGTCTTTTGAATAGATAGGTGTTTGCATTTGCATTCGTGATCTTTCAAGTTACATTTTGAAATGTTTAGAACTAGTGGCCTATAATTTAGTAACCTGGATCTTGGGTGTTTTATATACTCGTGAGGATGATGCAGAAGGGTAGCATCAGCTGGGCAGTCATCCCTTGTGAAAAGGTCTCTGGTTGGCTTATGAATAGGCTTTGTAATGGTCCATTGTTCTTTTGGTCACACAGCTGAAATGCCAAAGTTCACTGGGAGGTCTGCTAAGGTTTCTTATATCAAAGGCTTGACAGAGAGAGGATTTCATAGATTAAAATATTGTCCAGTGGCTCATAATAAACCTAGAAACTATTCTAAGTTGGAACATACACTGTTTACATGTTTAAGTTCAACTGAGCCATCAAGCTGATCACTGACCGATGCTTTTGTAATCGTGGCCTAAATGTTTTCCTTTAAAATCATTCCCCCAGGATCATTAGATGTGTATGTAGTACAATGCCATTTCCCCAGGGACACTTTCAGCTGATTTAGGCAATAAAGAAATTGAAGATTACTTGAGTTGCATTGAGAAGAAGAGCTATGGATTTAAACTTATGTCTCTTTTAGATTGCTTTTACCTTTGACAGAATTTGAAACAAAGATCCTCTCTTTCCACCATCCGGGCCTCACTCAGGTTGCTTTGGTAGCACTCTTACTTGGTTATGAAGGGCACAGAAATATTTGTACCTGTATTATCAGTGGACCACTAAAGGAATTAAAGTTAGACCTTGAGGACAGAGAGGAAGCTGTAGCTCTTTGGTGCTATGCCACAGAGAGCAGACTCCATTAGAGCAGCCTCCGCAGGTTCATGGATTCAAGGGGCACACGGGGTGGTGCAAGTGAAAATGTTTTGTAAAATTGGAAAGCACTATGCTAATGCAGACAAGTTTTCGGTATGATTCTCTTGATCCTTCTCTCCTCCTACAGTAAAATTAGACAGAATGCATATCTGAAGCAACAAGGAAAACTCTTAAAGTGGATGTTAGTTTCATTCTTTGTGGCCACATTATAGTTGGGTCCCCTGCCCCATGTTTATTTGCTGTATAATAAGACTTAACCACTTTTCAACCCAGCTTGGCCATGTATAGCCCTGGTATTATGAGAGTATTTATTTAGCAGTATTAATATAAGGATCAATTACTCCAGATCAGTATTAGCAGTAATCCTTAGTTTTTGTGCAGCATCTTGTTGGAGGTGGCTAAGTAGGATCTTTAGAAACATTAATTAAATCTCATAACAACCAGGTAGCATGCTGTTCTATGAAAACCACTATGTGGCGAGTTTTTATGGACTATACTTAGAATTTAAAAGTTTATAACATCAACCCAGACCCAACACCTCATTTGCAATTATGGTCCAAACATGTAATTTGATTAATATGTGAGTTACAGATGTATCTACTTTTGGGGATATATTCTATTGTGTGTGTGTGTGTGTGTGTGTGTGTATTACAGAAGCATCTTGTGCCTTTGTAGTGACCAAAACTAGAGTTCTGATTAGGATGAATAGAAAAATAGCTTCTACTCAGCTAAGATGTTTGTGCTTCTTGAAGGAAAATCCTAGAATAAATACAATTCTCTGTTATATCTTGCAATCATAATTGTAAATACTTAAGTAAGTATTTTAAAGGAATTGATTGTGTACTGTCTGTCTTTTCCAGTGAATCTCACAAGCTGGGGGAGATTATGTCTTGTCCTCACTGAGTCCCCAGTGCCTAGAACAGTGCTCCACGTGGAGCAGAGGTGCAGATGCTGGTGCGGATGGAGAAATTAAAAGGCGACGCCACTGTCTCTTATATTTCAGATGATATTTCTTTTGCCTCGACTATTGCTTCAGAATCCTCTGAATGGCTTGAATTCAGCAAATATAAGACATTATTTGATTTTTTAAAAATGAGATATAGACATATACACTGAGTGGCCAGATTGTTATGATCTCTGAATGCATAATAATCTGGCCACTCAGTGTGTGTGTGTGTGTGTGTGTGTGTGTGTGTGTGTGTGTGTGTATGTGTATATATATATATATATATATATATTAGAAGCAAAGTGCATGAATTCATGCATGGGTGGGGTCTGGCCAGCCTGGCCAGGAGGAGGGGACATGGGTGGTTGGCTGGCCTGCCTGCTGGCTGAACTCTTGGTAGAGGGGACAATTTGCATATTAGCCTTCTGTTATATAGGATGTACATTGAGTGGCCAGATTATTATACGTTCAGAGATCATAATAATCTGGCCACTCAATGTAGTAGGTGCACAATAGGCACTTAGTACATTGAAAAATAGTCAAAGAATCATGATAGTAGCAATATTGCCATCCTGGGTGCTTTATTTACTATTATAATAATTTGCAACCTTTTTTTTTTCATCTAAGGAGAGTCATTTAAAAAAAAAGCTTATTGATTTATAAAAGAAGATAAAAATGCCGTTGAATTTGAACCTTTTCTTTTCTAGCACTTAACCTTAAGATTCTACATAGCAATTTGAGATCCAAAGGTTCTTTGAATTCTTAAACACAATTTATATTTTATCATTGATTGCCTTACAGGATCTTTGATGCTACATTTGTGCCTTTCTGGATATTGGGATTGTGGATTAAAAGACACCTCTGTACTTTCAGTGCCTAGGATGGTGTCCTCAGGAATTTAGAGGCTCAATAGGGCCAGCTTCCTGGGTGGGCAGTCATGTGATCTGTTCAGAAGCACCTCAAACTTTGTTTAATGTCCTGCTGTCTTGAAGTTCTTAATTTTGGACAAGGGGAATCTGTATTTTTGTTTTGTACTGGGCTCTGCAAATTTTGTAGCTGATCTTGTTGCTCAGTAAATATTTGTGGCAAAATTAGTGACAACTATAGAACTTAGAAACTTAGATTTTATTTCTGAAAATATTGGTTTGATCATGGGCCTTAGTTTCTTTGTTTCTCTTAGGTATGACAAAATGAAATATAGTTGGTTTGGGTTTAATGGAGGTGCTATTAGAATGTGGAAGACTGAAGCTAATATAATGGGAAATGTAGAGTTCAGGGCATGACAAGGAATTGGGTTTCAGAGCTGGGCAGCCTGAGTTCTGAGTTTGAATGTTGTCTCTCCCCAATCCCTCACCCCCTCCGCCACTCACTTCCCAGTGTGTTAATAATTACGTTATCTCCATTCATAAATCTGATTTTTTTAAAAAATGTTCTTCCTCTGGGTGGGTAGGTTCCTTTTATTTTTCTAAAGGAAGTTTATTGCCTTATTATTTTAAGCAACAATCCAGCTTCTAAATTCTTGAAGCTTTAAGGTATATTTGGGGATTTGTTTCCTGGTAGTTACATGGGCTCACCTTCAGGTGTGGGTCCTGGCGTCAATTCACGGGGGTGTCAGAATGGTGCAGGAATGGCCTGCCGCTGGGATGTCCCTGGGAAAGCCTGACCAGTGGACCAAGGCCAGCTCTGAGTGCCCTGACCTTTGGGAGCCAGCACTTAGGAGATACCAAGATAACCAAATGACAAATAAGTAGAAGAATATGTCAATAGGGACATTATTCCTATGTTTGTGACTTTCTTTTTAGCTGTAACTCTTTGACTTTCTGTAGCAGTTATGCAAAATGGGACTATCGTCTTATCTTGGGAGAGGAAATGAATATGAAAGAAAATCTTTGCTGGGCTTACAGAAAGATTGAACTACTGTGTCTTTGCAATGAACAGAATTACTTTTCATGATGAAACTCATGTTCTACCATAGAAATACTTTTCAAAACTTTATGTCTAAGGACATAAAATGTACTTAAGCTCTGTCTTTTTACCTACAGTAAAGACTATGCAGAGTGTCTGACTTCTATAGTTACATCTGGTGAACAGCTATTTCTTTGAGATATTCTTGCCTCTGTTGAGGACCAGGATTCTTTTGCTATTTAACATTAGTGATGGATGTGGAGTTGGCATATATTTATTTACAGTTTACTAATATTACTTGAGAATAGTCACACGTCACACTATTGTGAAAGGAACAGAGTGAGAGCCATGTCAGGGTATCCTTTTTATAAAAAACTAAATGTACTTATAATTATCAGCATTTAAAAATGCCATTTATCATTCTTGCATAGATAAGGAATACTGCATTTTATTTCCTAAAGCTTAGTAGGTTTGAACATGGAATTTATTTGTAGAAGGCAAATAAGAAAATATTCATACAAGGAGGTCTTTGAGTAAATAACGATAAACTTCTCTACTCTGGTATGATATGTGTTTCCTTAAGAGCAATGCAATTCTGGACAGAAGGCCTCTATGTGAGAAGAAGATTGCTGTGGACCTTGGAATCTGTAGAATGTTCCTGATTTGAGCTGCAGCTGGTCAAGCACAGTCCTGACCTGAACAATGAGAATCTAGTAGGATTCATTTTTTTTTTTCAATGCAC